GCTCGACCCCAGGACCCTGGGATCATGACCTGAGCAGAAAGCAGACGCTTAACGACTGAGCCACTCAGGCACCCCTGTGCTTTTAACTAGTAGCAACAAAGAGCATTAGTTTTGGTGTTCCTTGAAAAAAGTAAATTATGAATGTATTTACATTGATTCATGAATCAGTGTAATAAGCTCAATAGGTGAAGGGGATTAAGAGGTATAAATTTCCAGTTAGACAATAAATAAGTCATGGGGATGTAAGGTATAGCATAGGGAATATAGTCAATAGTATTGTAATAACTTTATATGGCAACAGATGGTAACTAGACTTATCATGGGGATCACTTCATAATGTATAAAAATATTAAATCACTATGATACGTACCTAAAACTAATAGGATATTGTATGTCAATTATACTTTAATGAAAAAATGTATGGTGAATGGTAGTTGAGAAGTAACAGTTATGAAGAAGTAGTAAGGTGGGTTTTAAGTGGCCAAAGTTATCTTCATTTAGACTAAGACCCATGTACTTGGAAATCTGCTCAGCCCTCTTGCCAACCATAACATTTGTTTTGGCACAACCTCATATTTTGATATCTTATTTTGTTCTGCCATTCCACGTTCCTTATTTCTATTCTACTTCCTTCCATGTTCTCATTTTGTGTATGATGTAGTCAACACAGTGCAAAGTGCTATAGCCATTTCAATAGAGAGATGGAAGATCTAAGCCAATGTTAATTTTGGGTCACATACATTCAGTATATTGAAGGAAGGAAGAAGTTTTCCTCAGTCCAAGGTTCTTCCAGCTAGCCTAAGAATTAAATTTTGCATGAGACAGATTAATAGGAGAAAAAAACCACAAAGTTCAATTAGTAAGGAATTCTAAACAATTTAGTCTGGGGTAGTAAATTAGTAAAAAGTAACAAGGGTCATTTATACAGGCTTCTCTGTTGTAAATTTCCCATCTCTGGTGATAAGGATGTCTCTATCTCCTGGGACAAGGAGGGTACCTTTCACATGGGGGAGTTATTTCCTGCTTTCGGGAAGCAGAGGAGGGTCTGAGTGTCCGTCTTGTACAGGCTGTCTCCTAAGTAACTTATTTAAAATAATATGTCAAAATGGCACATTTTGGCGATATACTCCAGTGATTCTACTTCTGTTGTAATAGTTATATAATTTCCACTTAAAAACAATCTTTTATACTATAGTTAAGTGTGTTTTATTACAAAGTATATTTATGCATGAGAGAGAAAAAAGAGAGTTGAATGAGCAAATATAAGCACACACTTGATTTCTGTGAAATTAAAAACACATTAAGGCTAGGTTTGTTTTTCCTTATAAACAAGCAGACTCTATCAGTGGTTGGTCACATTAATGGATCAGTTTGTTTTTGTGTTTTGTTTTTTTTTAAAGATTTTATTTATTTATTTGGCAGAGAGAGACTCAGTGAGAGAGGGAACACAAGCAGGGGGAGTGGGAGAGGGAGAAGCAGGGAGCCCGATGCGGGACTCGATCCCGGGACTCCAGGATCATGACCTGAGCTGAAGGTAGTTGCTCAACCAACTGAGCCACCCAGGCACCCTATGTTGATATTTTAAATAAGATATATGATTGTTCCCTTCTTTTAACCTAGGCACAAACTTAACAGCGTCAGAACAATTAAATCTGGCAATGGCTTGGGACAGAATGGACATTGCCAAGAAACACATCCTAATTTATGGACAGCATTGGAAGGTATAGTGAAAATGAAGTTATTTGGGGAAAAATATTTCGTGTGTTGGCTTTGTTAGGGGGGGATCCAAAGAAAAAATCGGAGGAGAGATAGATTGGTTTGGGAGGGGTGTGGAGGTAGCTTCTCTGTAGCTGGGTGCCCAGGGATACCTGAGACATTTCTCTCTTCAACTTTGCCTCCCTAAAATCATTTTTTTCCCCTCAGGCTCTGCAGCCTAATTGAAACTGGCAAATGAAGTTGGGAGAAAGACAGAATGGAAGGATATTTTATTATTTTTTTTAATATGGCTGGATTTTTATATTGTTTTTTGAAACTTGAAGTTTTCTTATTTTTGCATTAAAGTGTAATATGTACTCACAATAGAAATAAGTGAAAACAGAGAAAAGCAGAAAGAAAAAAGTTATCTATAGTGCTAATGATAATCACTATTAACATTTCATTTTTAAAAATTGCAGTTGTGACCCTACCAAAGGTATATTATTTTTGAGTCAAACTAATACATGCATGTTAGTTAAAACATCTAATGGTACTAAAAGGCTACTAAAACAACAGTAGTTCTCTGCCCTGCTGATCACAAGAGTCAAGTGTTTTTAACATTTTTTGATTGTATTGACATTTATAAATCTCCATAGTTTTAAATAACAAGTCATATTGTTATTTTCTGATTCATTCATTTAGAGACTTCTCAACATTTCTGTCTGTGGTCCTGTCCTCCCTGCTACAATCTGGACTGGTTACCTGCTGCTCCGGGTTCTGGGCTGTCATGCTGGGATCTACCTTCATCATATTGGATATTCCCTTTGCCTCTCTCCTATGTTAGAGCACCTGTTTTCTGTATCCCGTGTCATCTTCTTCCCTGGTTTACTCCTTTATTTTAAGGAGGTGCATCCTTCAGTAACTTTCTGAGAAAGGGAGCATGGAAGATAAACATTTTGAGAACATATATGTTTGGATATATTTTAATTAAAGATCAGGACTAATTTTCCTGAAGAATTTTGAATGCTTAGCTGCTAGCATTCAACACTGCTATTGAGAAGTAAAAATGTTTCTGTTTTCTGATCCTTTGTTTGGGACCATTTTTTTTTTTTTTTCCTCTCTGGGAGTTCAAACAAATCTCTTTCTAGTGTTTTGAGATTTCACAATGCTGTGTGCTATTGTGAGTCTTTATATCCATTATGCTGGGCACATGCTTTCAACTTAGCAATCATGGGTTTCCATGCTGGGGAATTTCCTTCCTGTTTTCTCTGTTCTCTTTCTGGAATTCATAGCATTTAAATGTTGGACCTAAGGACTGCTCCTCTAATCTTATCTTTTTCCTTTTATCTTCCATATTTTTCCTTTGTTGATTTCTTCAACTTTAATTTTCATGCCTTACATGGAGCTTTTTGTTTCTGGTAGCATACTATTAGTTTCTATGAGCAAATTTGTTGTCTTTTTTCTTTTCTTTCTTTTTTTTTTTTTTTAAGCAACTGAGGATAGTAATGATAGTTCTTTTGAATTTTTCTTCTTCCTGCATTGTCTGATTCTTACTGATTGATGTTTTGTGGTGTGCTAGTTCTGGACTTTTTATTTAAGTGTGGAGGAGAGAAAGCTCTTTAGAAATTCTGAGCCTGTAGGTGAAGCTTAACTGTAGATTTTTCAGTTAAGACAAATCTTAACTTGCTTAGTAATGAAGCTTACCCCAATTAATTGTAAGTTATTTCCTAAGAGAAGATGTAATTAGATTGAAATATTTTTCAAAGATGTAAAAAAAAAAAGATATATATGTGTAGGTAGTAAAAATTTAATTAACCTTATTTTTTAAAGAGACAAAAATAAATTGAGCCTGTAGGTGAAGCTTACAGATAAATTTTTTCAAGAGACAAAAATAAATTGAGCCTGTAGGTGAAGCCAGGTCACTGCTCTGTTTGGACAGAGGAGTGATCTGGCTTCCACTTGTTGGGGGGACCTGAGATGACAGCATTATTCCTGCCTTTACTCTTAGTCCCTTTACAGAAAAGAATCCTCCAATCCCCCCCCCGGATAAGGAAAAACCTTGCTGCCAGTGTTAATGGAAGTCAAATGGGGGAAGATGACGGGGAAGATCTCGACATTAGGGATTCAGTATATGTACATTTATTTCATCCTGGAGCCGCCAGAATTCTGTGGCATAGATTTGTTTGGTTCTTGGCTTTTTTCTAGTTTCAGTTTCTGGGGACTTTTACCTTCTGGGTTTCTGGGGACTGCTAAGTCAATTACCACTTGCCCACCTGCTTTCCAACTTCCAAAATGCGACACTCCTGGACCCCCTGTTCTTGTGGATTCATTTCTTTAAAAAAAAAAAAGTCTTTTTACTATAATTTTACTAAAACTTCAGGTCAGAGTAAAAGTAAATGAGTGTGTTTAATTTCCCGTATATATTCAGAAACTGGGTATAGTTTAAATGAAAACATGGCAAGTTAAAATAGCAACAACAACAAAAAAGAAACCTTGAATTTTTATTAGAATTGCATTAAACCTATACATTAATTTGGGAAGCAGTGAGATCTTTACAATTGTCAGTCTTCTGGTACAAGAACGGATTTACTTTAAGTGTCTTTTATGCCTTCAAGTTCACTTTTTGTCATTTCTTCAATCAGGTCCTGAACATTTCTTAGTAAGACTGTATTTTATGATTGTTATATCTGCATTGTTTTGAGTTCAGATCTTTATAATTCTTCAGTTATTTCTACTTTTTAAAAAACTTCTTTCTTAATTGTCTCTCTCTCTCTCATTTATTTCTACCTTCTGAAGGCTGGTGCGCTGGAACAAGCAATGTTAGATGCTTTAGTAATGGATCGAGTGGATTTTGTAAAGCTCTTAATAGAATATGGAGTGAACCTCCATCGCTTTCTTACCATCCCCCGACTGGAGGAGCTCTATAACACAGTGAGTATTGGAATATTCCATCAATCGCCTCCCTTAAGATTCATTTATCAATTAGCTTAAGATTTAGCTTAAGCTAAATATTGAACGTTCAAGTCTCCTTGAATATCGAAGTACAAAGATAGCTTAGAGAGAGACAGATTTCTCAACCAGAGGACAAACATTCTTACCAAATCCATTTTATCCTATGGTCATTTCTGCGTTTCTTATTTTAATTAATTACACAGAATAGAAACATAAACTAAGTTAAGAAAACACAACAGTAAGACCATAATTAAAGCAAGAACAAATTGCTTTTATTGAATTGTTGGAAGCATCTCGACCTACAGCTACTGTTAAAATTCTGCTTTTGTACGCAAACCCTTTATTGAAACTAGACCAGCTTACTCATTGTAAAAACACCATTTGCTCAAGCCAAGCACCCTTCTTGAGATCTTGTTCCTTGTCCTTTGAATCTTACCTTTTCTTGAAAGCCCTCGTTAAGCCCTGTCTTTTTGAATACTCCGGTTTACAGTGATCTATTCCTACGGTACAAATTTTTGGCAAATCTTTTCGAGCATACATCTTCATGATTAGTTTTTCATGTAAATCCCCCCTCTCTTCAATTATACTGTAAAAACTATGAAGAAAGTACTTACATTCTTAACTGACTCCCTCAAGAGCTGGATTGAACATAGGAGTGTTCAATAAGTAATTGTTGATGGAATGTAATTATGTGATGGGGTTTGTAATGGTGTAGTTTATATATGATAAAGGATAGTTACAAATTACTTAAAATTTATTTTTGTCTCTTGAAAAAAATAAGGTTAATTATATTTTTACTACCTACACATATATATCTTTTTTTTTTTTTTACATCTTTGAAAAATATTTCAATCTAATTATATCTTCTCTTAGGAAATAACTTACAATTAATTGGGGTAAGCTTCATTACTAAAGATGTTGAAGAAAATTTTCAGTATTCTGGGTTATTTGTGCATTCTGAAATAAAATATTTTCCCCCTAGTATATGGTAATTAAAAGGAATAAATTTTTCTTTTCTTCATTACAGAAACAAGGACCCACTAATATGCTCTTGCATCATCTTGTCCGAGATGTAAAACAGGTAACGTAATTATGAATGTGTACAAATTTCTTTGTGTATTGTCTTAGCTTTGTGATTGAGGCATTGCCTGATTTTGCTTCGTAAAATGTAGATTTGGATTTTCTAGTGAGTTACCTACCCTCTTTGCCTGGGGCTCTGAGCAATTTCATCACCAAACCATACTCTTTAAGTTTGTTTCCTTGTAATTTATTTTATATTTTTAAAGATTTGATCCACCAAGTAAGTGGCATTAACTAATGATTATTTTCTCTTATAAAATAAGAATCGGAGACATATAAAACTTTCAGAACTTTACCTCAACATGATACAACAGTATTTCCAACAATGATAATAGTTGCTGAAAATAAAGAAATTTCCTTGTCTTGTCATGTTTATTGGAGGACTGATATATGATTTTCATTGTTTTGTTATTGTTTTGACTATGAATGATGGCTTGGGGGCCCTACCTTCTTTTGTGAGTCTAAGCATTGTTGTAGGGAGCCAGGATGAATCCCACTACTCTATAACCTTGCTTATATTTTGCTCATGGTGTTTTCACTGAACTTTGAGTTAAATCAGACTTAAAATACAATCATCTTCTATTAGTTACCAAACCTTTAACAGTCTCTTATGCTTTAATTCCTTCTCTTTTAGTCACCAAGAACTTTTATTCACATCTGCAGAAAACTAGGAGAGACTTTTTTTGTTCCCATGATTAAACTCCATCCATGGCACACTTTAAAAGTACTTCCTCATTTCTCGGAAGTCTGGTATCTTGATGGAGAGAGTGTGGGCTTTCTGGCTACGTTGACTTGGTGGGAGAGCCAGAATAAAAGGACCGCAGAGGAAGACATTTAGTTGGCAGATTAGAAGTAAGCAAAAGTGTCCATGCTGACGTAAATTTAGTTTGCATGATTGATGCCAGATCAAGATGATTTTCCTTATTATTTCCTTGAACTTTGATTCCTTTACAGTAAACTGAAGAAAAAGGAATAGAATAGGTTAAATATGCTTTCATTTATTTATTTATTTTTATTTTTATAAAGATTTTATTTATTTATTTGA